ATTCGATGTCTGACAGACATGTTTTGACCATCTTCTTTGATTAAAATGTAGAAGGTTTCATGGGTTGGATTTTAAACTCATTAAGATTTGATATTCTTCTTGATTGATTTCTTGATTTTTGTTTTACAAATGTAATATATTTGTGTCATGTTATAGAAATACTAAATCTGTTTTTCAGGACAGAGTTAATTTGAAAAAGTTTCCAAAATAAATCACTGATCACGCTCATACCTCTTACTATGATTCTGCTTTTTTTTTAACAAAGAAGAGTTGTACAGAAAAAATCCATCTTCTTCTAGCTGCTGTTGAGAAACAGATTTACACATTGAGTCAAAGAGCATAAATAATAACTGATCAAAATCAATACTAAAAGATGATCAAAGGCAATCTACATAGTTTGATAGGTAACAGAAACTTAGAAAGATTATACAAATCAAAGCAAATATTATTTATAGCTGCATGTTACATGGTAACAATCGGGGTAAATACTGCTAATTATTTTTTGTAATAATTCTAACTAAAATGTTTATGTGAACAGCTTCTAAGCCAACAGTGATCCAACAACCCAGTGGGTCTGATGTATACATTGGAGAGAAAGTCACTCTGAGATGTGAGATCTATGGAGATGGAGGAACTAAGTGGACGTATGAATGGAGACCAACCAACAGAAACTCTCCAACATCCAGTGAATACAGGATCAACAGAGTCTCTACGTCTGACAGTGGAGAATACAGCTGTAGGGCTGAAGGAGATCATCAGATGACTGAATGGAGTGATGCTTTACCACTAAAAGTGAGAAGTAAGTGAGATATACAAGATTGTTTTGTTGTTCAACTCTATTAAAACACAACAGTTTCCATGTACATGAGAAATAGGTCACATACAGGAATAAAACATTTCGTTACATGTTTGAGAGCATCAACATTTATTGTAGTAAATTCTAAATCATAATAGCTGTTAAACCATAATAACTGTTATATCATGAGAGCTGCCAAGTAAAGAAGTATAAATACTTTGTTACCTTACTTTAGGAGTAATTTTGGTTATTTTTACTTTACTGGAATAATTATTTTTCAGTCGACTTTCTACTTTTACTCCTTACATTTTCATGCAATTATCTGTAATTTCTACTCCTTACAATGTTTAAAAGTAACCTCATTAGTCATTTTAATTAAGCAACAATTTGTCATCTTTGGATGGAAAAAAAACACATACAAACTGTGTTATCTAGATGAAAAGATTTTTGGGTTGTGTTTGGAACGGAACAGAAAATGTTTAACATCCGAACACCTTAATGCTTTATACGCTTTTCGTCTAACCAGGACATTTGACAGATCACATTTAGGTCAAACTTCACCGTGGACATAGCAGAGGAGTAGAGTGAAAAGATCCTAAAGAAGTCAAGCTGAATGTCCCAGCTGAGCAGGGACATTCAGTGATTAGTCATCATAGCTTAGGCTTCATGAACACATTATTGCTTACTGGTGCGCATATGATTTCTTTAAATTTTTTTTTTCCCATTATACATAAATGCAATAATTTTCAGGGGAAATACATCCAGCTGAAATGGGTTACCTAGTGTATTTAAAATTATTCAACATTAAAATGTTTTTTTATAATATAAGAGCTATTGTACTTCATGAAATTTTTTGAATCTTATATTATTATTACATTTACTATAATACTTTAAGTAGTTTTGAAACTAGTGATTTTATACTTTACTTGAGTAAAAGCTGGAGCTTATACTTGAACTTTTTCTAAAATATTTTTTAATCCTGGCATCTTTACTTTAACTTTGGTAATTATGGCAATTGCTTTTTAACACCTGTTATTCTTTCTTGGTTTTTTGTTAAATTTCATACTGAAAAGGTAATTCTAAAGATTTTTAAGTTTGTTAAACATTCTTTTTTTTCCAAAGTCCACCATA